TTTGTGCGCTACCAGACGAGCGCCAACCTCCTCGTACCCGACTCGATGCTAGTCGAGAAGCGTTCAGAGTGACGTAGATGCTGGACGAAGCGAGGCTCGTCGCGATCGCCGTGGCGCACCGCGACCGACGCATGCTCTCGATTTTAGGTCACGGGCACTCGCGTGTACTGCCACCCGATGACGCCATGGCGGAGGAGGCGACCTACGATGCGCTTGGCGATCACGTGGCGCTGACAAGAGACATGGCCATGCACTTTGAAGCGAATGACGACGCGAGCAACCAGATCGAGTACCATCAAGCCGCGCTCGTCTCGGTACATTCTACAAGATCAATGTGTCAAGACGAGAAAGACAATCATGTGTGCAGACGGTCGACAACGATCCATGGATGCATGAGATCCGCGCGACGGGGCAGATCACCGCCGAGGCCATTTCACCCGACGACGTGGACGACGGAACCTTCAACGACGCCGACCACGGGCTGGTCGAGGCCGGCGACGACGGCACGATGGTCGTCACGGCCGACGAAGGCACGGCGCAGGCGCTTGCAATGGGCAGCGTCTACGACGGCTACTTTGTGCAGTCGACTGCCGCCGCTGTACGCACACGACTCGTGTACGAAGATCTCATGCTGCTGTAGCTCGAGACCAATCGCACGAGCGAAACCTCGGTCAACGACCACGGGCTGGTCGAGGCCGGCGACGATGGCACGATGGTCGGGACCGGCCCAGACGGGGTCGACGGCGGGCGGGAGCTCGGGCCGATGATCTATGCGACGTACTTTCGGGTATCGAGACGAGTGTCGGGCTGTTGTTTTGAACGTGCGTACTAGGACGAGACGGCGTGTGGCGGGCGGACGGGGAGCTTGGGACCGATCCTCGACGCCTACTTTGACCAAGCGGAAACCTTGGACGACGGCAGCCGCGTCCGGTTCGACGAAATCGAACTGGGCGAGGACGATGACAATGACGCAGTATACCCCAACCACGTCGCCGCCGTCTAGTGTTGGCCGCTACGGCACAAAAGGCAGTCGATCGTCTTTGCTTCCTCTGTCGTCGTCTTGAATGCATCCTGGTGGCGAGAACGCAACTATCAAAACCGATGGAGACGCCGTGGATGCAGAGAATGGACCGAGCACCGCCGTGTCGAATGGCTTGGTGTACAAATCAAATCTCTTGCGAACCGTTGTCGCATCAATTGACGTGGCCAGCTCAAACGGAGTCATCCCATCCTCCACGTAAGTACCGACTGCGAAAAGGGTGGTTAGGGTTGTATCTGCGGATGGTGGCGGCAGCGCATCGCTCGAGGAGCTGCAGGATGTGCCACCGGCGCGCGCACTTGTCCGTCACATGCAGTAGACAGAGTGCCAAGAGGCCGTTGCGAGGGGCCTACATCGTGTTGCTGTCGGTGAACGAGAGCGTGATGCTACAAAACGCACGGCTTTCTGGACCACGTCGATCGGTGCGTGGAGGTCCAGGAGGAGTTGCGCCATGCAAGGCGGGTTGCTCGTGTACGCTACGACCAAGTTCTCGGATGGCTATCCATTTCGAGGATAAGCACCACATATCTTGGGCTAGAAAGTGAGCTACTCGTACCTGGCAGCGCCGGGAGCAATCGCCGAGGATGTCGTTGTGGAGATCGCAGTGGTTGCCGAGGTGCGCTCACGAGTACCTCAGCCATGGCTTCGTTGCCGGCCAGCAGCATACGCTCGGGTTGCAGCTGCCCCTACACCAAGAAATTGCGCCCGCGACCGCTTTAGTTTTCGTGACCGCACCTCGATCATGGACTGGGCGTTTGCGCCATGGTCGAGTGCGTAGACCGCCGTCTCGACGTCGCTGCGACTGAGGGCGCGGGTGAGGAGGCGGTGACTAGACGGCTACGGTACCGCGCTCACTAAACCCGCAGGATTCGAGTATAATCGCACCTCCGAGATGTGGGCGCCGTGGTCGGCGAGGAGGCGAACAACGTCAATCGCATCCTCGAGCACGTGACGGCCATACTAGCCGATACAGGTGCGGAAGAATCAGAGAGGTGTACTCTTTGCAAACCTTGTAGAGGATCGGGACAATCGCCAGCTTGTGCAGAGTGGTTCGAACCGCGCCAAATTGTCTGAGCAGAACGTGCTCGATGAGCTGGTTCTCGTAATGTTTATCGGGCACCGAGCCGAGCAAGAGACGGTGGTGGTCGAGCAACGTGTCGTGCTCGTTAAAGTTAAAGACGTCGCTACGTGCAAGGGTACATAAATTCAATTGAATTTATGTACCCTTGCTACGCGTCGGCGACGTCATCGCGATCGACGTCGCAAAGTAGAAGGGATTCATGCGTGTCATCTGCCAGCGACATGGGCTTCAACAGGAATGAACGCAAACGAATCGACTTGGACACGGTCGCCGAGGTAGATGCATTGGACCAGGTGCAGATTCCGGTGCTCCGCCTTGCTTCGAAAGTAAAGCATCGTCGTCACATCCAGGCTCGTCCAAAACGCCTCTGGCACCGGATGCGATCCGGCGTCGCGTGCAGCGACAGCTCTGGCTCGGACACACCGCACAGCCTGTCTGCGACCAGAGATACGATATCCTATTGCAATCCAGACGATGTAGTACCTTGAAAAAGGTCTTGGGCTGGGCTACGTCCGTGATGGCAAAGGCGTCGAAGCGGAGGCCGGGAGATCCAAGTACCGGTAGCTCTTCGCCTAAAAGAAACATAAGGTCCTCGTTCGTCTATGCGCATCGCATCGGGCAACGGCGGTGAGCGCGCTCGTGCGTCGTCCGGTGCGAGCATTCTGGACGATTGATGGACGTTCAAGTACATGCAGTGTGCGTGTGATTCGATGCGTTGTCCCGTTTCAACCCAGGTTTCAACCCAGTCATATTTTTGCTTTTAAAGGGCCCCACCACCAGGGGGCATGAAATCACCGATGCCGCCCATGGTTGACAATTGGACGATTGGCCGGACCGTGGGTGCATTTTGGTAGGACCCGGTCCTGCATTCAATCGATAGGGGTCGTACAGGATCAGACCAAGAACGTCCGACACAACCCTGCAGCAGGAGCATTTCGCAAGCTGCGAGCATGGGGCAAAGTCAGAGCGACATGGAGCTCGCCCAAGCGGCGACGAACGGCGACCTCGCCCACGTGCAGGCGCTCCTGGCGCAAGGTGCGAGCCCGAACGCAACCAAATGGGTTCGAGCCACCTTGCAATCCTAGCATTTTGTATAGTATCATTGGATAGGGCTACTCGGCGCTCTACAACGCAACGTGGAGCCGACACTTGGGCGTCATCGAATGCCTCCTGGCGGCCGGCGCCGACGTCAACTATGGCGGCTCGGTACGAGTCGACCACGCGCGCAGTCGCAGCCAACGCGCTTGATATAGAACGTCCCGTCCCCACTCGCCGTGGCTATCGATCGAGACGTCCCCGAGGCCATTCTTCGGCGGCTGATCGCAGCGGGCGCCAACGTCGACATCCTCCTGGTAGCGCATTCTCGTTCGCATTGGCACCGTACGGAATGGGTGCGTAGGGCGATGTGCCACTGCTCGGATTCGCTGTCGTCAGCAAACACACGTGGCTGCTGCCTCTCTTGCTCGACGCCAACGCCAACGTCAACCTGGAAACCAAAGTACAGCTGGCTTGTCACGTCGAGGACGATGCGAACGCGATGTAGACGAAGGGCGGCGCGCTGTTTCAAGCAGCCAACAAGGGCTACCTTGAGACAGTCTCCCTCTTGCTCGCCAAGGGCGCGCTGGTCAACGGCCGCGACCCCGTACACTGTTGAAACCAGCAGTGTTGCGTCACATGGGCTCTGGCGGTAGACGCTCAACACGCCACTGTGGACGGCAGCCCATCACGGCAACGCCGACGTCGTCGATCGACTCCTCCTCGCCAACGCCAACGTGCACCGCTGCAACGACGTAAGCTTCCGCTCCCTACACTCCTGAGCGTGTTTTTGTAGCGCGGTGAAACTCCGCTGTTTGCAGCGGCGGCGGGTGGCCATGCCCGCATCGTCACAAGCCTCCTCGCCGCCGGTGCCAATGTCCACCAAGGCGACAACGTAAGTGGCCTCCATCGGCAGCGCAAGAGGAGAGTACGGTGTATCTACTGTAGCAAGGCATCACTCCGCTGGTTGAGGCCGCCGCGGCGGGCCACGCCGACGTGGTTGCGATCTTGCTCGAGGCCAATGTCACCATCGAGTGCACGGCGGTAGGCGACCTTTTTTGCAGTTTTCGAAGAGAGACATTGTGGAATGTAGCGCGGGCCGATGGTGGCCGCCGTCACGCGAAACCATACCGACGTCGTCTTGCTGCTGTGCCGCGCCATCGTGGCGCGCGCCGACACAGAAGCGAGGCGACGAGGCAACGTCGACAGTTCGGACGACCTGTCTGATGAGACTGTCTTGGCACATGAGCCGTCTCGGAGTGCCAAGGAAGCGTAGTAGTATCAGCTACGTAGACGTGCATCGATCGTTATGCGCTGTGCGTGGAAGGAACCAGCACACTCACTACAGTCTACCAAGCAGCGCGGAATTGTCTAGCAGACACTGTAATATCAAGACAGCGTCTATTTCGAAACACTGGTTCGTACCTCGCTATGTTTTATTTAAACCATACAAACGTTGTATAGTATCAAATACCCATGCAAACCATGCGAAAATAAACTCTGTGAGCCAATCACTTGACGACAATGCCAAACGCACGATGGCGATTGGCCAAAAAGTGGCGCCGTGAACAATTGTTGGTGCCCCTTGGATCAACTTGGTTGGTCTCGTTCCATCTTCCGATTCGCCACCGCCAGAAGCATGAGCCTCTACGCGCCGCCGACGACGGCCGAGATGCTGCAGCTCAACGCTGCGGACGCGTCGTCCGTGTACACGACCAACTTCCTCCGGCTGCAGACGACGCAGCTGCTCGACGAGGTCCGCATCGCCTACGACAAGGTCGGTGGCGTCAACCCGATCCTCGTGGCCGTCAAGCAGAGCTTGGACGCGCTGCCCGAGCAGCAGGTCACGTCGTCGTGCTTGGCCATGCCGGGCCTGCCCACGCGCAACCTCCTCAAAGAGGTCGCGCTG